GAGAGGCTGAGGGAACTGGGATTATTTAGTCTGCAGAAGAGAAGAATGAGGGGCGATTTGATAGCTGCTTTCAACTACCTGAAAGGGGGTTCCAAAGAGGATGGATCTAGACTGTTCTCAGTGGTAGCAGATGACAGAACAAGGAGTAATGGTCTCAAGTTGCAGTGGGGGAGGTTTAGATTGGATATTAGGAAAAACTTTTTCACTAGGAGGGTGGTGAAGCACTGGAATGGGTTACCTAGGGAGGTGGTGGAATCTCCTTCCTTAGAGGTTTTTAAGGTCAGTCTTGACAAAGCCCTGGCTGGGATGATTTAGTTGGGATTAGGTCCTGCTTTGAGCAGGGGGTTGGACTAGATGACCTCCTGAGGTCCCTTCCAACCCTGATATTCTATGATTATTAAGGCAAAACACTCAGCAAGTAGTAATCAATTACTTACAAGAGGGAAGCTCGTTAGGATGATCTCATCACAGTCACCTCCAGCACCAGACAATACAGCTTCAATCTCCCTTTGTTACACAAATTTATACATAACTTTTTGTTACCTTTTCTTATACCTATGTATTAGTCTCTCATTTCTATGTTAACTATCTTCCCCTGTCAGTACAGGTTTAGTGTTAGTTCAGACGGGTCTTTTCTACCCTTTTAGTTACTTTCTCTTTTCTTGGTCTCACAAACATGATTAATCTGCAATTTCTTACACATACACAGTTCTACTTATGCTTAAGCTATTAAATATTATCAAAACAGACTTTTAAAATCCACTGCAGGCGTCTGTCAGGCCTAAATATGTGTTTGCTCCCAACATTGGGGATGGCGTTAAGAGATACTTTGCTTATGGAGAGGCCAGACTTAGTCTCTCAGTTTATACGGAAAAACCAAGATCCTCACCTTGGGTCTGATGTTGGCATCCACTGAAGTCAATGACAAAACTCCCATTGAATTCAGTGGTGCATGATTAAGCCCCAGGGGACAGATCCTGCTCCTATTGACTTTTCTAGGAGCTGGAACAGGCCCCGTGTGTAGGCACTGACTTTTCCATGGCACATTTCGCCTGAGAGATTAATCCTAGCAACTTGGGCAAATTCCAGTTTGGATAACCATAGTCTGCCTCCAAGTTTCAGTGCGTACAGAAGTCTTCTTAATTCCTGCCCTAAACTATTCTATAGTGGTTTTTTTGCATATGTTGTCACCCCTCTACAAAGCAGTAGCAGATGTCTGGGCTTTGCAGACCAGCTTCCCACTGGAGGACATAGAGTCTGGGTGTAGTGTTAGTGCAACTTTTTTATTTTACTCTCTATATATGTCCTTAAACAAAAGTGGTCACAAATGACACACAAGCTAACTCCTTTTTCAGGCATCGCAGCCCAAATACCAAAGCCCCGTTCCTGGGGAGCAACTTTTCCTCAAGAACGAACTCTACTTAGAGAGATTTAGGCAGAGAAAAGCTCTCCTGTGGCCTACAGTAGTTCCCCCACAGAGAAACACTGTGACAATACTGCAGTACAGCACTTCTCAAAAGAAAAAGGACACTTACTAAGAAAAGGACACTTACTCACGTACTAAGAAAATGAACTTGGAAGACAATGTGTGCCGTAGAGTGGCTCCTGCCATAACAGTATTTCAAGTATTTGAAGTCAATGGCATAGCTCCCAATGCCTTCAAAGGTGCAAGGTTGGGTCCCTAATTTGTGAAGTACTATGGGACCTTTGGATGAAAGGGTGATGAGATATGGGCTGAATTTCAAGACATGCTGATAGTGAATTGCAGGTGCTCAAAATCTTTCAACATTTAGCCACATATAAATAATACTTAGCACTTTGCTTTACATGGTCAAAGCACAGTACAAACATGAAAAAAAATTACACAGAGTGAGTCAGCATTTTGATAAGAAATGAAATCCTCTGGAAAGTTTCTGAAGGTTATTAAAACATTGCAAATGAAACTTGACATTGGTGATTACCTGCTTGATTTTTAAATGGTTCATTTCAAGCATAAACAGAATTGCATGAGTCTGAGAGTGGAACAAAAGTTATTACCTTTGTTTGCATAACTGGGCTGTGCCTTTCAGTTTATGACTACATTAAAAAGGAGCCAAATTCAACTGTCATGTAAACTGAATGTGCCAGGTGTAAAATGGTCAGAAATAGGGTCTAAGTGGTAGAGAAGTGTAACTTGCACTAACTTGGCATTCAATGAGTGAGAAAATAAGTGTATGTGAAGATGGAAGTGGGAGGCTATAGCAGTCTTAGGGCCGGATTCACCATTGCATCACTCCAGTTTAATACCAGTGTAACTCCATTAAAATGAATGGCATCACAACAGCAAAAACAGGGAATAATGCAATGGTGAAGCAGGCCTTTGAGTAGGATTTTGGAAGGCATTCAGAGTAGACCTAACTCTGCTCCTATGTCAACATTCACTTCAGTGGGAGCAGAGCAAGGCGAGTGCTTAGTGCTATTAAAGAATCTCACATTTTTTTCTTAAAGTGACTCTTGCAGAACTGTGTGCACATATTTCAAAAAATCATATTGTGGGCCTCGCTTTAAATTATAGATTCTTTTCATGGACATCTCCCCTCTCAACCTCCCACTCCAGATCTCACACTTTCAGGGGCGGTGAGTAAGATGGGACCCTGGTGTCCATGCTCCAGGAATATTCAGGGCCATGGGGACCCAGCTCCACCAATGTTGGGGCCGGGTCTCTCCCCCGGCCCAGCCTACTGCCCCCACGCGCCTCCCCCAGAGTGTCTCCGAGTCCCGCCTGCCGCCCCCGAGTGATTTAAAAGGGTCCGGGGGCCACCGCCACCACTACCAGCAGTGCAGTGGGGCTAAGGCGGCTTCCTGACCGCCCTTGCTCCACGCCACTCCCGGAAGCGGCCAGCACATCCCTGCGGCCCCGGGAAGGAGGGTGATCTCCGCACGCTGCCCCCATCCTGAGTGCCAACTCTGCCACTCCCATTGGCTGGGAACTGCAGCCAATGGGAGCTGTGGGGGCAGTGCCTGCAGGCAGTGGCATGTGGAGATCCCCCAGCCTCCCTGCCTAGGAGCCACTGCCAGAGGGGTATGCGGGTCACTTTTGGGAGCCGTCCAAGGTAAGCGCCACACCCCTCACCCTCTCCTGCACCCTAACCCCCAGCCCCATCCCAGAGCCCACAACCACACACCCAAACTCCCACCCAGAGCCCGAACCCCTCACCTTCTCCTGTACCCCAACCCCCTGCCCCAGCCCAGAGCCCGCACCCCACACCCAAACTCCCTCCCAGAGCCTGACCCCTCACCCCTCCCGCACCTAAACTCCCTCCCAGAGCCCGAACCCCCTCCTGCACCCAAACTCCCTCCCAGAGCCTCCATCCCACATGCCCTCCTGCACCCCAATCCCCTGCCCCAGCCCAGAGCCCGCTCCCAGCAACCAAACTCCCTCCAAGAGCCCACACCCCTCCCGCACCCAAACTGCCTCCCAGAGCCTACACCCCAAACTCCCTCCCAGAGCCTGCACCCCTCCCGCACCCAAACTCCCTCCCAGTGCCTTAGGCAAGTGTGTGTGTGTGGGGGGGGGGATGGGACTTTGACCCATTCTGGGCACCACCAAAAATTATACAAACCTGCCACCCTGCACACTTTCCTTAATCAACTGTACTACTTGCTACTATGAAAGAGTCACATTAGGGCTGTGGTAATGAGGCAAGATGAAAAGAAAGGGACAGATTGTGTCAGGCTGCTGGTCAGGTGTGGGATCCCTCCAGTACAGAACAGGTTTGTGAGCTGCATTGAAACGTTTACAGCATTGGACACCCGAGTTGGACTGGTGGGTTCAATCAGCCTGGGCAATGACCTTTCACGCTGCCCAGAAAATATTAGTGGCCTGATCACCTCCTCTTGCAGTCTGTTGCCTTGAAGTTCTGACTGACCAAGCTGTTCAGCACCGTGACAACTAAGGAATTCTAGGTGGCCATGGATTTGTTACAAATTTTAAAAAGATAAAATTCAATCCAGAGCAATGTAATTTCAGAAGCACCAGCTACATTTCATTGCCATTGCAACCGGACAGCACAAAAATAGCAAGTGAAGGAGCAGCAGGCTAGCCACTGCCTCTGCCAGACTCAAATTTTCAAAAGTGGCCCCTAATTTGGGGGCCTTAATTTGAAAATCTGAGATTCCTATAACTGGGTCCCCCAAAATTGAGTTTCCTAAAATGAGAGGGCCCTTCTGAAAATGTAGGTCTCAGAGGAGTAATGAATGGGAGATAAGGAGACGTTAGCTAGCCATGTACAGACCTCCCTCACTCCCTCACTCCCCTAGCGCAGAACATGAATGATGGGTCACATTCCAGTTTTCACTTCATTTGTATTTTATCTGTATAGGGCTAGTGGGACGGAGATTCAAGGGATTAGACCCCCGCCCCCCGAGTTGATGCTGCCTGCCCTCAATGTTGCTGCGGGATTGGTGCATGCTCAGTCCTGATCCCACCCAACTGTTTTGTAGATGGCTGCACACACTTCTCTCGGTGCCTTCCAAAATGGAAAGCTGGAGTCACGCACTGTCTGGCCTTTGCAGGTCCCTGAAAGCTCTCTGTCCTCAGCAGAAAATAGCCCGCACTGGCTGCCCTTGAGGTTTGAGTGAACTGGAGGAGGGAGGAATCTGCAAGCTACTCTGTGTCGCTCTTGGCAGAAAATTCCAACAGGAGAGCTGGACCATGCAACAGCGGGGAGGCTGCAGGCAACTTAGGCAAGGTCTGTGCAGCACCTGCAGCTAATGCTGCAAGGAGAGACATGCCCGCAGCCTGCCCAGGCCAGCGTGCACTGAGCCGTGCACAGTTCAACGGCGGTAGGCTCGGCTGCCTTGCTGGAGGCAGGCGGCTGCTGCTCTGCACCGCGTTTCCCCTCCCGGAGCCCTTCCCAATCTCTGCTCTCCCCGCCCGCCGCAGCCGCTACTCAGAGACCAGCGGCTGGGGCGGGGCCAGTCTCTATAAAGAGGGTGGCTGCTGCTTTTCTCCCCTCCAGGGCCGCGATCCAGGAAGGGCCGAAGAGCTGGAGTCATGGGGACCGAGCTGGAGCTGAACACTAAGGCAAAGATGCCCATCCTGGGGCTTGGCACCTGGAAGGTACAGTAATTGCAGACGGTGGGATCTAGGGCATGGTACCAAGCGGTCACCAGCGCCTGCGCTCGGGTGCACTGCATCCGCCCCTCGTCGCTGCCTCTAGAACTGCTGATCTGTGTATAGCTGGTCCTCCCTTTGCAAAGTGTGTGCCCAAAACTGCCGGCCTCGGCTTGGCTTCTTGTTACAGGGCAGGCAGCCCCCGGCTCTTCCTGAGCACTGGGTAGTTCCTTTGCAAACGGTTTGATTTTCTTGCTGGCAAGATTTGCCGCCGCCCCCGCCATGGAAAGCGTCCTGTCCCCTGATGCGTCTGCAAGGCCTGGGATGCGGCTGGGGAGGGGGGGGGGGGGTGTCTGCATGGGCTCAGTGTACTCACCCCCTGAATAGCTGTTGGCCATTATGTAACACATATACTGTGTCGCTGTGTTTCACGCTTCCATACCCAGCCTTTGCTGCGTCTGAGAGTAGCTATTAAAAGTTGTTGGGCACATGGTGCCTCTTATGTAATTCATGCATCTTTTCAGGGGGAGAGGAAGGAGTGTAAAGGCTTCTTGCACTCCAAAATTTGACTAGGAAATTGGCCTATTTAAAGAGGCACTGTCAATTTAAAAATACTGTATTCTGGCCTAATTTCTTTGCGTCTCTTACAGTTAACTTCACGTGTTTAAAAAAATTGCATTTTAAAAACGCAGTTTCCTTGTCACTGCCCAAGTTTCCGTTTACCACTTCTCTCTGGTTGGATGAAAACCGATTAAAAACCAAAGAAGTCAGTTTCACTTTTAGGCTCTTCTGCAATGTTTGGGTTTCAGACACTGCAAGAGAACCCTTTTTGTTTCAAAACAGCTGTTTTTATTAGCCTTTTCTTTGAAAAGTTTTCTGTTGGCCTTAGATTTTTTTTTCATTACTTGGTTTTTGAAAGAATATCACCTCAAGTCTCATGAAGTTTGTCGGTATCACTTTAAAAGTGAAATAACATACAAAGGTAGTTTCTAGAAAACTCAGGGCAGGGACTGTCTGTATTTTGTACAGCGTGTGATTGGTGATTCATAATAGCAACACATACAATCGTGGGGGGACGGGACTGAAAGAATTATAATTTAGTTAATACAGCCAGGAGTTTAGATTTCTGGGTTCTGTTCCTAATTCTGACTTCAGACTTGGGTGTGACTCTGCTGAAAATGTTCATGCCTTGCTTTTTTGTCTGTAAAACAGGGTTATTACTGACCTGTTTTTACAAGGGTGTTGAGAGGATTAATGCTCATAAAGAGCATCCATCCTCTCTTGGAAAGTCCTACTGAAGCGCAAAGCAGTATTGCAGTTATTATTTGAGATATGGGAAATTTGTGACCGTGGATCTTGTTAAAATGTCATTAAACTTACTCATGCTTTCTGTCTGTGAAATCAGTATATGTTCCAAACAGATTTATAGGTAAACAGAGCTGTTTTTACATTTTTTAAAAGCACTTTTCTATGTCAGCTTTGTGCAATGGTTTGCTCTCCATTGCTTGATATGCTGGTCCCAATACTAAGTTAATGCAGGGTGGTGATCCAAAATTTTAATCTGTTTGGTATCTGTAAAGTAAGGGGTGTCTACATCGCCTGCAGTAGTGAGCCTGCCAGCCTGGGTTGACTGACTTGGGGTAGCAGCGCTAACGCTTTGAAGTTGCAGCTCAGGCTAGAGCCAGTGCGTCTATATCCTGGGAAACTTCCCCAAACCTGGGAATTTGTGAGTAAAATGTTTTGAATGAAAATTCCCAATTTGCCAAGTTGAAACATTTTACTCACAAATTCCCAGGTTTGGGGAAATTTCCCAGGATATAGAAGCACTGTAAAAAAAACTTTATCTGAGAATTTTTCACCAGATTTGGGAAATTTTTAGCGCTGGGTTGGGAAAAGTTGGCATCACGATATAGAAGCACTGGCTAGAGCCTGGGCTCTGAAGCCTAGGAAGGGGGGTTCATAGCCCAAACTCCAACCTGACTTGCAACTTCAAAGTGTATGCCTTATGCCTTAGGAGAGAGCTCTGCATTATGTGGTCCCACAAAGCTGACAGTGTCTCATACGATCCTGTAAAATGCTATTTCAAACAGCACGCTACAGTGGAATAGAATAGGTGACTTGCTGAACAATATGTCATAGTGGCCACTGTGTCATAGGCGCCGACTCCGTAGGTGCTCCAGGGCTGGAGCACCCACGGGGAAAAATTAGTGGGTGCTCTGCACCCACTGGCAGCCAAGCTCCCCTCCCCCCCACGGCCGCCCCACCTCTTCCTCCCCTGAGCGCGCTGAGTCCCCACTTCTCTGCCTACCTCCCAGCTTCCCGCCCTGTGCTGGGAGGGAGGGGGAGGAGCGGGAACGTGGCGTGCTCAGGGGATAAGCCAGGCCTGGGGCAGGGATTTGGGGAAGGAGTCGGAATAGGGGCAGGGAGGGGGCGCAGTTGGGGTGGGGACTTAGGGGCATGGGTGGGAGGGGATGGGACAGGGGCAGAGGGGGGTCGAGCACCCACCGGGGGGAGCAGAAGTCAGCACCTATGCATTGTGTGTTCATATAAATAATTTCCTTATGTCTTTCTCCCCACGTCTTTCCCACTGGCCTTTTACAGGCTGAGGATCACATACTGCTCCTGCACAGAGAACTTACCTTATGCAGGCCCCAAGTGCTGGATATACCATAGCATAACCTGAAATCCAGTGTTTGCTTATTTTTACCTTTTGAGAGCAGCAAGCCAGTGTTTTAGGCAAACTTGGTATTTCAAGCAATTTTTGACCAGCAGAATTGGAACAAAATCAAATCGCAATCAGTAGCAACAGCTGGATTTATGCAATACCTGAAAATGCAGGCGCTGATTTTTATTTTTATTTTTATTTTTTTGCTTGAGCAAAATGTTCTCCTTCTAATTCTTTTGTCTAATACACACTGCAGACTCCGAAATCTAATATTGGTTCATAGATGTCAGTCAGTGGACTGGTCTACATCTTGTTGTCTAGTCATGTGCCCTGAGGGACAGAGCGGCAGCTCTGGTACTGTGGCAAGGTCCTGGTTTGCAACAGTTCAGATCACTTCCCGTGGCTGGCAGGAAAATGCTTAATGCTTCCCCTGAGAAGACCAATCTCCTCTGCATGCCCAAAGCGCAGGGGTTCAAGACAGTAGGACTGGTCATTGGTACCTAAGTGACTCCCCTGATGTACTGTGAGATGAGTCCATTCTGAGGTGCGGAGGCTAGCTCTAAGAATCCTTGCTGGAAAAGCCCTCTTTTTTTTTGACCATGCTTTATGTAACATTAGAAATGGTCCTCCCCTCAGCAGTCTGTGTATCTGCCATATTACTTCTGGCTCCCTAGTCTCTTTTCAGAGTGGTGATTGCACTCTTTTAGTGATCGGGACGCTTCTGCATCTCCCCAGCCTCCTCTCTTGTGGGATGCTTCCCTTTGTGATCATTAATGCGTAGCTCTTCTATAGTGCTGCTTGGCGGTCGAGCTGAAAAGCTTTTACAAAGAAGGTGGTTATTAGTATCCTCACTTTACAGATGAGGAAACTGAGGGACAGAGCGGTCAAGTCATCTGCCCAGCATCACACAGAACTTAGGTCACCTTGCCTTTCCCAATGCACCACACTGCCTCTCATAGGCTCAGATGGGATGCTTCTTCTGCTAGTGTGATAAGTGAAGATGGGGGGGGAAAACTCCCTTTTATGGACACCCAGCCAGCCAGTTAGCTATAAAATCCCAGTTAGTAGCTGTCCTCTACTTGCTTTACCTGTAAAGGGTTAAAAAAGTCCATAGGTAAAAGGAAGGAAGTGGCCAAAAGAGCCAATGGGAAGGCTAGAACTTTTTAAAATTGGGGAAAAAACTTCCCCTTTGTCTGTCTGTCTGTTCTCCGGAGAGAGGAGACAGGGCTGGAACTATACTGTAAAAAGCTTTGGGCCAGGTATGTAAAATCATCAGATCGTACCTAGAAACTACTCATTTGAAACCCCAGATATGTAAGTAGATCAGGAAATGTCTAGGAAGACGCAATTAGGTTTATCTCTTTTATTTCTTTATGGCTTGTGGACTCCTCTGTGCTAACCCCAGGTGCTTTTGTGTTGCTTGTAACCTTTAAGCTGGACCCCAAGAAGCTATCTTGATGCTTAATCCTTGTAATTGTGTTCTTTTTTAAAACCTAGCAAAAAGCCTAAGTTCCAGATGTATTTTCTTTCTTTTTGTTTTTAATAAAATTTACCTTTTTTAAGAACAGGATTGAATTTTTGTGTCCCTAAGAGGTTTATGCATTTGTTGTTTAATTAACCGGTGGCAACAGTTGATTTCCTTTTGTTTTCTTTCTAAGCTCTTCCCTGAGGGAGGGGAGTAAAAGGACTTGAGGGTACCCCACAGGAAGGAATTCCCAAGTGCGCCTTCCTGGGTTCCAAAAGGGTTTTTTGCACTTGGGTGGTGGCAGCGTCTAACCATCCAAAGTCAGAGAAAAGCTGTAACCTTGGGAGTTTAATACAAGCCTGGAGTGGCCAGTTAATTTTTAGAATCCTTGCAGGCCCCCACCTTCTGCACTTGAAGTGCCAGAGTGGGGAATAAGCCTTGACAGCTAGTTCCCAGGATAGCTTTTTTTCTTAGGACCACTTAAAGGGGTGTTGCTAAAAAGCCCTCTCACATAGAAATAGCTCCTTGACAGCTATCCAGAGTAGGGTCATGGTGTGAGACAGCTTTGTTTTGCTAAACAAGCCAAGTAAGATGCAGGATGCATTGCTAGATGCATTGTTGGATGCCGTCATTAAGTAAGATAATAACAATTACTAGACAACCACAGAGAGACATTTTTTGTTTTGATTGCAAGGTGCCCAGATGCCTGAAAGGTGAACACCATAGAAGAAATAAAGTTTATTGGGGTTTCTGAGCCTCTAGCCACCTGGGAAATGGGATATTTTAGAGTGTCTGTGGTTTTTTTTTTTTTAATTTATTATTTTGATTAGTCTCCACCAGGGAAAGTAAAGGATGCAGTGAAGGCTGCCATTGACATTGGATACCGCCACTTTGACTGTGCCTACGTGTACCAGAATGAGAATGAAGTAGGGGATGGGATCCAGCAGAAAATCAAAGAAGGGGTTGTGAAACGAGAGGACCTCTTTGTCGTCAGTAAGGTATGGCTCTGGCAGGAAGATCAAGGTCATGGGGCCGATTCAGTGACCCCTGGGTGTTGGAGGAAGATCAAACACCTCACTCCTTTCTGCCTCTGTGGGATAAAGCAATTCAAGACATGTACATTTCACCCTTGAGTTGTGTTTCCTAATTCACATGTTCATGTGGGATGGGTATAAAAGGCATGCACAGGGAAGAATAAAAGACATCTTGGATTCTCTCCTGTTTGGAGTGGCTCTTCTCTAGTGAACATACCAGCAATGGAGGTGGAAATACTGTGCCCTTCCAATGATTGAGGAAGGGACAACTGTTTTTGCCTGGCATGCTGAGCTTATAATGTAGAACCTAGAGCTGGACCTAGAAGGGACCATCATGATCATCTAGTCTGATCTCCTGCACATTGCAGGCCACAGAACTTCCCCCACTCACTCCTGTAATAGACCCCTAACCTCTCGCTGAGTTACTGAAGTCCTCAAATCATGGGCGGGCATTAGGGGCTACAAGATTCCCCCCCACACACACACACACGCACTTCCAGTGCAGCTTCCAGAGTGGGGGCAATGCAGCAAACTACCATTTGGGTCTCTTTCCATTTCTGCTGCTGGAAGGAGGGACCAGGTTGTGGCTTGCTGAGACTGACCTGTATTCAGAAAGGTATTTCAGTATTGCAACACTTAACTTTTGGGCACCTAGAAAATCACAGGAGCACACTGCAATTCACAAAGCCTGAGTGAAGTGCCTGGACTCCTGTGCAATGAATGGGGAGAAATGAACAGCTAAGAATGCGATTCACAAAAGCCAGCCCGCTAGGTGGGGAGCCATTTAACCTAACCAATGGGAGATGTTGTTTGAGAGATGTCTGCTAAGCCCCGCCCCTCTCTCTGAAATAGGCACCAGTCTCTGCTAGTGATTGACAAATAGGAACTGCTCTCTTGATGTCAAGCACCTTAAGCAGTTAAACTGCTTCTTGTGAGAATGAATCAGGTGGGTGCCTACCTAACACCACACAAAGTGGTGATGCTATCCACTGTATGATTGCTAGTCCAGTGGGTTCAATTCTCCCCCACAGGCAGAGGATAAGAAAGGATTCAAACAGGGATCTCCCACCTCTCAGGAGGGTGGGCTAACCTTTGAACTATGGGACTTTTTTGTGTGTACGTAAGAATGACTCTGTAGCATGGTCATTAGGATGCCCACTTGGGAGACCCAATGTCCAGTCGTTCTGCTCCAATTGCTTGTCCATTATTTATCTGCACATAAATTGTAATATAAAGAGAGAAGTCCATGCCATGGCGAGGGCGGAAGTCCAACGTAAAACTAGAGAACTCAAGAACAAATGGTGGACTGGGAAAGCACAAGAAGTCCAACATCTCGCAGACATCCACAATACATGTGGTTTCTTTAGTGCCACCAAGGCTATTTATGAGCTAATTTGCCATGGTATGAATCCCCTTCGTTCTAAGGCCGGAACCACACTTTTGAAGGACAACAAAGCCATCCATTCTCACTGGAAAGAACATTTTGAAGATCTCCTTAACCGTAATTCTGTGGTTGCAGATGAAGTCCTTGAGCAAATCCCTCAACGACCATTTAGGGATGAGCTCGGAGACCCTCCCAGTTTGTATGAGGTACACAAGCAGGTGAAGAACCAAGGCAGCAGGTCTAGATGGGATCCCCGCTGAAATCTTTAAAGATGATGGACCAGAGCTAATTTGGCAGCTTTACCTGCTTATCCTTAAAATCTGGATAAAGGAGGAGATATCCAGTGAAATGAGGGATGCCCTGATTGTCACTCTCTTCAAGAAAGGGGATAAAGTGGTTTGTGGAAATTATCGTGGTATCTCCCTCCTAGCCACTGCAGGAAAAGTTCTGGTGCAGGTCCTTGCAATCCGCCTTCTGCCCCTGTAAGAAGAAATTTTACCGGAGTCACCGAGTGGTTTCTGACCACGTCGTGGAGCTGTGGATATGATCTTCATAGCACGGCAGCTGCAAGAAAAGTGTTGGGAGCAAAACCAACCACTCTACATGGCTTTTATTGATCTAACTAAAGCCTTTGATTCAGTGAATCACTGTGCCCTCTGGACTGTACTTTCTAAGATTGGATGTCCTGATAAATACATCAATGTCCTAAAATTGCTTCATGATAACATGAAAGTGACTGTTCTGAGCAGCACTGGTTCCCAGAGTGAACCTTTCAAAGTACAAACAGGAGTTAGACAGGGCTGTATCATCACTCCAACCATGTTTGCGGTTTTTATTGCCATCATTCTTTACCTAATTGCTGGGAAGTTTACAGCTTGCGTTGAAATCATTTACAGAATGGATGGAAAGCTGTTTGGTATGCTGATGACAATGCAATCTTTGCCCACTCTGAGAGAGCTCTTCAAACTATCTTGAATGTGTCTGCCAGTGCTTATGCATGTCTTGGTTTCACTCTTAATATCAAGAAGACTAAAGTGCTCTGTCAGCCCTCTCCAAATGAAGTATTACATGCCCCGTCTATCAAAATCAATGGAGTGGTACTGGAGAATGTCGATCATTTCCTCTACCTTGGAAGTCATCTTTCATCAAAGGCAGATATTGATGCAGAAATTCACCTGAACTGTGCCAGTGCAGCTTTTTCTCGTTTATGGCACAGGGTTTTTGAAGATCATGACATTCGAACAGACACCAAGCTTCTTGTCTATCAAGACATTATTCTCCCAACACTGTTGTATGGGTCTGAAACTTGGACAACCTATAGACACCACTTGAAAGTCCTTGAGAGGCACCATCAACGCTGCCTTCGTAAGATTCTGAAGATCAAATGGGAAGACATGCGCACCAATATTAGTGTTCTGGAAGAGGCAAAGACTATGAGTATCGAGGCAATGATCATCTGTCAGCAATTCCGCTGGACTGGTCACGTTGTCCAGATGCCAGACCATCGCCTCCCAAAACAGGTCCTATTCTCTCAGCTGAAAGAAGGGCACCGTAACGTGGGTGGACAACGGAAGCATTATAAGGACTTGCTGAAGGACAACCTAAAAGTGTAATATTGACATTGACACTTGGGAGACACTTGTCCAGGATCGCTTAATATGGAGTGAAGTCCTACGTGACGGTCGCCTGCATTTTGAACTTGCTCACCGACAAGCCGAAGCGGACAAGAGGTGCAGGAGGAAGGAGAGACTGGTCTCCAGTCATGGTCAACAGCCTCCTGCTGAGCCTGAAAACATCTACCCTCATTGCAATAGAACTTGTGGTTCAAGGATTGGTCTTATTAGCCACCTGAGGACCCATAACTCCCATGGAAGATGATCATACTCGGTAACGAGTGATCGCCCATCATTTATCTGGAGTGGAATAGCTTCCTTAGGGATTGCAGACCCACACCAGAATATCCCAAAGCTTAGTGGTTAGAGCACTCTCCTGAAAGGAAAGACCTCTCTTCAAATCCTTTCTTCCCCTCTGCCTGAAGGGAGAATTCAGCCTGGGTTCTCCACGTCCCAGGTGAGTGCCCCTTGATGAGATTTAGAATTATACCTGATCTGGTAGTGGGCCTTGGAAGATGCCTTCCAGATTGGGTCCAGCATGTGACTTAAGCAGACAAATTGCTATCTTCCCCGGCTTGTGCATTGCTCTGGGACTTAGGCATCCAGATGCAGGGTGGGGGGCAGCAGTGAGCATGCCCAGAGGCAGAAACTTAGACACTTTGGGAACTTTTACCCTGAAAATGTAGGTGCCAATTGAGTTTAGGTGCCTGCTGGGTTTGGCAGGAGTTTCCTGGTTCCCAATGGAGCCTAAAGCTGTGACTAAGGTGCCTAAGTACTTTTGTGAACCCAGGCCCATGTGACAATTCAAAAACATGGGGGCCCAAATAAATTTTTTGCACTGTATGTGTTTGAAACTATTCTTTATCTAGGCTCTTAAATAGGGGATCAAATCAGAAGGAGCCAAACTCATGCAGGAGGTTTTTCCCATCTCCCTGCTTCTGGACACAGATGGCTGGAAAGCTTCATTACCTTGTAGCACTTAGTTTTCTCTTTCCCAATACTGTGTCTTGCAATCAGTGGCTTTTTGTTAGTGCCTTAACTGGTGGAATTTTACCATCTTAATCTGTCAGAACCCAATTTTGTCAGGTAAATGCTACTGAAAATACTAGCATCAAGAAACTTTCCCTCTGTCTCTGCTCACAGATTTGAGCCTGTAAATGGGGGTAATAGTATTCCCACACCTGCTTCTTGTAGGTGTGATATTACTTTGTCCTGTTTGGGAGAGCTTTGTAAGAGCGCTTGCTTGTGAGGTCACTGCTTTGTTTGGTTTTTCTTTTGTAGCTGTGGTCCACATTCCATGAGAAATCTTTGGTGAAGGGAGCATGCCAGAAAACCCTTGATGCATTGAAACTGAATTACCTGGATCTGTATCTCATTCACTGGCCTTTGGGATTTAAGGTACTGTAGTGTTTAATACTTTTGTTTTTTCCTGACAGATTCTGGAGAAGCACTGTCCTCCTGGTAAGCGATCCTGTTACAGCCCCAACCCTCTTACCCTCAAGGAGGATACCTCCGGGGTATCTCAGCATCACTCTTTTTGTGCTGCTTATTCAGCTTTACTGTATGGGTGTGTGAACAAGCTTTCATCCGTGAAGCTGAGCATGCTGCTTCTACCACATTCCCTGCCCCTGTTGATCCAAGGAGAGATGAATCTTGGATCAAATCCAGGTCTCCCACTTGACAGGGCAGTTTATACCTTTAACCATTTGATTACCAATTCCTTCTGTACTGGTTTGTCTTCCTCTTTATGGGAAGGAGAGCTATATCCCTTGCTTCTTAACAATAAGTCTGTTTTTCTTTGTTGCTAGTAGCACTCTTAGGCCTTGTCTGCACTACCGGGGTAAGTCAACCTAAGTTACGCTACTCCAGGTACATGAATAACGTAGCTGGAGTCAACGTAACTTAGGTTGACTTACTGCGATGTCTACACCGCGTCTCCCATCAATTTACCTTACTCCTCTTGTTCCGGTGGAGAGCGCTCTTTACTAGACCCACTAAATCGAACCCCGCTGCGCTGATCTACCGGTAGTGTAGACATGGCCTTACTTAAGCAGCAGGCAAAATAAGCTCTTAATTTCTCTTTTCTCTGACACCCACCCCCTGCCCTTGGAATCCCCAAGCACAGTACAAACGTGTAGTTACCATCTGCCATAAGAGCCTTGTTGTTCTGGAATCCTTGGCATTCAGAAGTGGCAACTTTCATTGTAAAGCCCATATGCAGATTCAAGATATGGTTGAAGCTGGTGATGTCTCACTTTGACTCTCTTGTCTTGGCTCTTCTTTTCTGTTAGAGCCTGATAAAAATACCTTCTCCTTGGTATTCTGTGCAACTCCCAAATGCACTCTCCAGTATCTTTTAATTGTTTTTTAGGATGGACAAAGCAGATGAAATGAGGCTGTGCTGGTATCCCAGTTCTGCAGGCAGGTTGTAAAGGAGTCTAGACAAGGGAGCTTTTCATAGTAGCAAGAACACAGACAGTAACTTATGCACATAGTCCGTTCCATTGTCTTTCTCCCATTCCCTGCAATCTATACATAGTCTCCCACTGAAGGCCTGCAACAGCACACCATCACTCATGCAACAGATGTAATCAAATATAAATCTGGGTTAATAAAGGAATGTCCCATTATGTACATAATGTATAGATTGCATGTACATAATGGGACAACGTGTAAAAACTGTGTGCTTTGCTACACCCATTAGTAATAGATCTATAACCCCACTGTACTTGTACTATGGTGGGTCACTGTTCTATTTTGTTGGATCTATCACTGACCTGCAGACCAGCCACAGAATTAATTGGGGTGGATTCTCTGGCTGGAATGATGAATGTGTAGCATGAGGAAGGGAGACCTTGCCAGATTGAGCAACTTAAATAGGAGTTACTATTCCTCTTCTTTTGCCCTAAGAGTTTGAGCTACTATACAGAATCTGAGTTCAGTTTGACTTCCCAAGAATTCTAGTCTTTCAGCAGAAAATTCAACAGAACATTTCAGACTTTCTGCCTTGCATTGACAGGCTGGAGAGCAGCTGTTTCCTGCAGATGAGAAAGGCATGGTCTTGCCCAGTAGCACAGATATTCTGGACACTTGGGAGGTGAGTCTTATTGCAGTTTGACATTCATTTTGGCTCTGATTTAGATTATCTATTTTTATATTTGATTTCTCTGCAAAGAATTTATAATTCATTCAAAATTATTTGTAAATACCTTCATTCTTGGTTTGCACATCACTTAGAATTCTATGTAAATATTCCAAAATTTGCACTGTATATTTATGTAAGTCAGATGATACTTTTGTTCCCTGACTGGCTGCCTTGGGTAACTTAGCTCACAGGAAATGAGAATGTAAATTTTCAGTTGATTCAGATTCAAACTTTGAAAAGCTTCTTTGCTAGAATACTAACAAACATACAATGTGTCAGGACATAGTCAAAGTAAATTCGCTGAAATTTTAACATTTTGTTGAAAATCCTCAGCTCTGCTTATTACTTGCAGAAGTAAAAGGAGAATTGTAGGTTTGTATACTACCCACAATCTTGAGGATAGTCCATTATTGTGCCAGTGTTGGGTTATCTGACATAGGTCTCTTCTAACTCACTCGTATGATTAATAAAGATGCATAAAACCCTCTCACAGCCAGAAAAGAAATCTCAGAGAAGCACTGTTCTCTCTGCATCCCTTTTCCCTGGTGGACTCCAGAACATATGTGATGAGTCCAACCAAGTGTCCCATCACTGGTTATCGTCAAAGAAATATACCATATTGGCAGCAAGAATGCCTTATTTAGGCCCTACCTTGTGTATCTGGTTACATAGACTCAGATTCTCTTGTCCCCTTAGGCTATGGAAGAGCTGGTGGATGCAGGTCTGGTGAAAGCCATTGGAATCTCCAACTTTAACCATGAACAGATTGAGAGAATCTTGAACAAGCCTGGGTTAAAATACAGGCCTGCCAACAACCAGGTAAGCTGCTTAAAGGCAACAGCTCAGTGTCTCTGGGATCATGAGGATCTGATCATGTCAGTTTTTACAGTGGAGAGGTAGGGAGTGGGCAAATAGAGTAGGCATAGAATGCATTTTCAGTCCTTCTAGAATTCTGAAGGGGCACTTGAGGGAGTGAATGTTAATAAATACGTAGCTCTTACAGTGATTTCCTGATGAAAAGCACTAAATGCTTTACGACAGAGGTAAGTATCATTATCTTCATTTTACAGTGGGGAAACTGAGGCACAGAGTGGGGAAGTGTGCCTAGTTCATGTTAATGTAGTCCTGCTTGAAATGGGACTACCTCAATGCGAACTAGGTACCTTTTTAGTTCTCGCCACCAGGGTCTGACCAGGGCAGTTATAGCGCAGCACGTTAGCATGCTGTACAATTTACACCCCATGTAGTCAGCACTGCTGCCATGTAGACAACCCCTAAGAAAGCTAAGAGCACCATCCTGCAAGGAGCTGAGTGAGAACCTTCCATTCCCATTGACTTCAGAGGTTGCTGCCAGGCTTAAGCCATACATGAGAGAATACAAGTGTTTAACAGAAACATCTTGCCTATACTTCAGCTACTAGCAACAGCTACAGCGGGGGTCGGCAACCTTTGGCATGCGGCTCGCTAGGGTAAGCGTCCTGGCGGGCCGGGCTAGTTTGTTTACCTGCCGCGTCCGCAGGTTCGGCCGATCGCGGCTCCCACTGGCTGCGATTTGCTGCTCCAGGCCAATGGGGGCGGCGGGAAGTGACGGCCAGCACATCCCTCAGCCCGCGCCGCTTCCCGCTGCCCCCATTGGCCTGGAGCAGCAAATCGCGGCCAGTGGGAGCCGCGATCGGCCGAACCTGCGGACGCGGCAGGTAAACAAACCAGCCCGGCCCGCCAGGATGCTTACCCTAGCGAGCCGTGTGCCAAAGGTTGCCGACCCCTGAGCTACAGTATAATGCAGGGGGGTTAAGTAATGGCTGTGGTAGGAAAAATAACTGAATTGCTTGACTGGTCTGTTTTTAAAATCGCAAATAACCACAATCTCCTCATTTTGTATTACCCTTCTCTGGTACCATGGTGTAAATGATCCAAGTTCAATAATGGTTCTCTTATCAAAGGAACAAAAGGGAGGGTTACTTTAATGCCTAAGTGAAAATGGAGAATAAAATCTGAACCTCATTCTTGTATTTTGTTAGTAATAGTAATTCTAATATTTCAAAATCAATATATGCCTCCTTCCTATGGATGTTGAAAGTATATCTCACCAATTCAGTTAAATTAATTTTCTTTCAAACAAAGATAGTAGTGGGTTGGCTGGTCAAATAATGACTTTTTTTTAGTTCAAGTTTTTCATTGTAAAAGCAACTTTGTTATTTAGCATTTGTTTTTGTTTTTTTGTAAAAGTTGGAAATCAAGGAATTGGCATCCTGTGGTGGTCTGCTCATAAATTAGAGCTCCTGTCCATCTAACAGAGCAAAGACTAATATTTAAAAAAAAAAATGGAGATATCCCATCTCCTAGAACTGGAAGGGACCCCAAAAGGTTGAGTCCAGCCCCCTGCCTTCACTAGCAGGACCAAGTACTGATTCTGCCCCAGATCCCCAAGTGGCCCCCTCAAGGATTGAACTCACAACCCTGGGTTTAGCAGGCCAATGCTCAAACCACTGAGCTATCTCTCCCCCTAATTTAGCATATTTCTAGTTCAATACAAAATATTTTAGAATAGCTCTCTTTTTTGGGGGGCAGGGGATGTTAAATTGGAATTTCTGTAACATAGAACTTAGAGTGGTAAGGAGGGGGAAGGCCAAAGGAATACTGTATTTAACTGAAAGGACGATAGTGTGGATTCATTTATTGCTTAGACCACCACATGTCGGGGGGGGAGGGAGGGAAGCTCCATTTCAAATGCTTCCCCTGTTTATATATTCATTTGATTAAGAAGTACAGCAATTGGGTGTTGATACTCCTTGGCCTACATAACATCTTCTGGAGCAAGTTACTTTACAAGACAAACTGGAAACCTGTTTAACACAAACTAGAAATAATTCTGATGGGTGTCTATTCCCAAGAATAGATGTGTAGTGCATACATAGCCCAATGATCCATAAAATCTAGAGGATGAAATTCCCACTCAGTTATTTGCAGATACTTTCAAACATTCTTCTGTAAACACACATGAACCATTCCATCTGCAATTCATTTTGGGAAAAAATCCTAATTTTAATCTTTGATGGAAGGTCTTTTCCTTTAACCCAAATACTCGCTCATTTGTTTTATACAGGGGTTAGCAATTGTTTAAAGTAGTTTCTATTTATTCTATTAGGCCAGGGGTTCCCAAACTTGGTTCACGGCTTGTTCAGGGTAAGCCCTGGCAGGCCGCGAGACACTTTGTTTACCTGAGCGGCTGCAGGTCCAGCCGCTCGCAGCTCCCAGTGGCTGCGGTTCCAGCCAATGGAAAGGGGCACTTTCGTGTTATACTGTACGAGCAGCTGAATTTCTGCATGCTGAGGAAACAAAATAGCCATGCAGCATCTATCCAGCTGAACCCAGCCGTAAGCTGCGCGGTGACTAATATTCCAAACTATTTTAGGAGTTTTGGGAAACTGCCACATGATCATCTCCTAACAGCAATGCAGCTAGAACCATAAATAAAACTGCAGGCTGCAACCCATCCTGTGCAGTGCTGTGTCTTGGTCCACCTGCCAGCAGCATGAGATTTCAAGGCCTTCAGTCTGAAAGCAACAATCCAGATGGTTTGAATGACAGACAGGATAGGCTCAATTAAACAAGGTTATGCTCCCCAATATGTAGGTACCCTGAAAATCCCTTCAATTATCCAAAGCCTCAATTGTCCAAACTGAGCCAGTGCCCTATGACTTTGTGATAATCCTGGTTGTATTGTGGGTTGTACTGCAGTAGCTTACCAGAATGTGGGTCCAACATTAAGGGTTCTGTAGTCTTTTCTCTGCTCTGCCTGGTGTGCAGATGATCCCATTAAAACTAATGGTAGGCACACACATGTATTGTCTAGAAAAGAAATTCCATAACAGACAACAATTTAAAATTTTGTTCAGTAGTTACATTTGGTTGAATAGGGCCACTTTTAACAAGAGCACTCATGTTCAGCAGTAACCAGTATTGAAACTTCCCTATAAATTAATTGATTGACATGTACCTTACCCTTTAACATCAAAACAATTTTACGTTATTCTAAAGTAATGGTCTGGAACACTGCAGTTCATAGTATTGATGCTACAGTAGTTTCCAAAACATTTGTATCTTTAATTAGGGAAGCTAAACAAGAAAACTTTAAATTGGAAGAAATAGCCCTACTCATTTGAATTTCACTTCAACTAGATTACTCTGATTTTATGCTATACTTTCGGATATGACCTTTATTGTCCTACTTCAGTTGTATAATTCTGAGGCTGACTATTTTGTAAATCTTTGGAGAACAAAGTTGATAATTAAAACATAAGTGAGGTATGTTCCCCCCTCCACCCCCTCCCCTGCCTTGCAATATCCTGTAATAACTGAAACCCAACAGATAAAACACAAAACCAAGAAAATTTCATAAAATACCAAACAACTACAAGTTGTGTAACATACACAGGGTGTATAATTAGTCACAACTTGCCAACCTACTAAAGATATTTCCTGTAAGTGGAATAGGAAATGATCCCTGGAACACAGCAGCATTAGTGCAGTCTGCCTCTGAGTAAATTTATGTCCTTGTGCTCGCAGATTGAGTGCCACCCATACCTTACCCAGGAAAAGCTGATTAAGTATTGCCACTCCAAAGGAATCTCTGTCACAGCATACAGTCCCCTCGGATCTCCTGACAGGCCATGGTAAGAATGCTTTTCAGCCTAACTTGCCTGATAGTGACAATGTGAATGTTGAACTTGAAACTCTGAGGCAAGTTGAACAAGTAAGGCAGTTGTAATGGGTACATGTTTCTGTTAGTATGTAGAGTCGTCTTATGAAAACTTGCCACCATTAACTTTCCATCTCTTGCTTTTACAGGGCTAAACCAGAGGACCCTTCCCTCATGGATGACCCCAAGATTAAGGAGATTGCAGCCAAGCACAACAAAACCCCAGCTCAGGTATCTGTGCCCAGCAAAGTGAGGTCGCTGCATGATATCTGCTGCTTCCTTTATAATGTATCCTCTTGTTTCAGTATTCTAATCTTGTGTAGACTCTGCATCCTTTGCAATCTGATTCCATTTTTAAAATCTCATTGTAAGGGTAAGGAATTAATGATCACCAGGTATTTGGATAACAGAGGAAAGGGAAACATCCAGCTTTCACCTGGCCACCACTGTTCAACTCATTGCGGTTCAATAAGTGTCAGCTTGGTCTTAAGTACTGCAGTGATGAAAAGAGGAGCATTAGAAATAGTGGTTCTGATGAATTGCATCTTAGGCCTGGTCTACACTACGACTTTAATTCGGATTTAGCTGCGTTAATCCGAATTAATCCTTAACCCGTCCACACAACGGAGCCAGTTACTTCGAATTAAAGGGCGCTTAAAATCGATTTCTGTACTCCACCCCGACGAGCGGAGTAGCACCAAAATCGATTTTGTTAATTCGAATTAGGGGTAGTGTGGCCGCACACCACCGAATTAATGTGGTTAAAAAACGAATTAATGTGCTTAGTGTGGCCGCGCACAATCGAATTTATACAATCTGTTTCCCAAATTCGAATTATCTAAATTCGAATTAATCTCGTAGTGTAGACGTACCCTTAGTGTGTCTTGAATCTTAGCTCTAATAGTACTGTTTGTTTAGAACAGGGAGGTTTTGGTCTCTTACTGGTGATGAATGACTTGCAAGTAACGCTGCTGTTCTATTATGTAGGTTCTGATCCGGTTTCATATCCAGAGAAATGTGATTGTGATTCCCAAGTCTGTTACACAACATCGTATTGAAGAAAACTTTAAGGTAAGATTGCAAATAACATTCAGGTTGGCTTTGAAGTATAGTAACTAGATGGAGTCCAACTTCTTATGTGGAAGGTAGCCATACTTTCTCACTCTTCCCAGGTTACCCTGAAAAGGAGGTGGAAGGTTCTTTAGTACCTTTATATACAGTATAATGAAGGTTAAACTAACACTCAGGATTAAGGGCAAAAGTGAGCAGAACTCGTTTAAAAATAAATGCACAAAGTGACTGTTCAGGGTCCTAGTTAGTGTTTCCTTTCTCTTGTGTGCTGAACAACCAGCAAGTAAAGCTTGCCTAATACCTGAGTGGAGTCATGTGCCACAAAAACTCTGAGTATACAAAGCAGTGTCAAGAAAATAGCTTTCCTCTACTCAGATCCAGTCTCTGATATCATATATTCTACACACACACTCTCTCTCTCTCTCTCTCTCTCTCTCTCTCTCCACAATTTGTCATATAATTGTTCTTAATTCAGTGGTACTTTACTGAATTACCAGTGAATTAAAAACACTTTTTGATTATTTGCTAAATTAAACAAGTTGTGAGAACACACATGTGGATTAACTAGAACTAGGGTGACCAGATGTCCCGGTTTTATAGGGACAGTCCTGATTTTTGGGGTTTTTTTTTTTTTTTTTTAATATATAAGCTCCTATTACCCCCCCCCCCCACACACACACCCTCTGTCCCGATTTTTCACACTTGCCATCTGGTTACCCTAACTGGAACACTGAATTTTTCAAGCATTGTATTCTTAACAGGCCAGTAAAACGTATTACCCATACTCAGAGGCGTTAGCTGTCAATGAATATGAACAAAAGTGCAGGATGAATGTGTAGCTAATTATTATAACAGTTCACAAAAGCTTTCAGTATAGCTGACGTGTCTATCACTTTAGCTTACACCTTTCTCTACCAATAGACTGCAGCTGTCCAAAGGGAAATACTTTAGTTGTACAAAGCAATCATTGCTTTTAACCAGCACCGGTTTGTTTCAGGTCAAGTTGGGAGTGTTTATGAAGCTTTTCTTTCAGTCTTGTGAATCTGTGATCACCCAAGTCTTGAGTACACTGCCTGAAAAGCTAACTAAAAGTTTTCTCTTGTCAGGTGTTTGACTTTGAATTGACTAAAGAGGAGATGGAAACCATCCTCACCTTTAATAGGAACTGGAGAGCCTGTGCATTCACTATGTAGGTGACAATGTTTGAAAACACTAAGTGCTAAGTATTCTATGCAGATTGCTTTAAAAAAAAAATCCAGGAATTAATTGTGTGTGTGTGTGTGTGTGTGTGTGTGATATTGATTGATTGATTTAAAAAAAAAACCTCTGCAAACTGAAATTTGCCTAAGATCTGTCTGACAAACAGATCTGTCCAAAAATCTTTTTTTTTTTTTTTTTTTTTTCCTTCTTCCCAGGAAGGTTTTAACATCTTCACAGTGGTAAACATGTGGCCTTGTTTTTAATACTTCTTGATAAATAACTGAGTTTAAATCAAATGTAGGTAAGACCCTAAACAGGAGTTCTTAGTATCTAGTTCTAAAGCTAGCTCTGACATGGGACTGTATCTGTGATATTGATCGAGCCTTTTAACTATCTGCCTCATGCTTTGTCAGTAGAATGGAGATACCTACCTCTCTGGAGTTTAGCATGCTAAATACTTAATTCCAATGGAGAATTAAGGAATTAAATTGCCTGTGGAAGCCCTAAAACTTGAGATGCATTGATCAGCTTCTGTGCTGTCAGTTGAGTTTTCAGTCCACATTATAAAATGAAATAATTTTAAATTGATTTTTAATACCTGCCAAAATGAAACCAGTAACTAGTGTTCTTCCATCCAAATAGATCTGCATTCCTACTTAGCTGTGCATGAACATGTCCCTGCTCATCATGATGATTCAAAATTATCCCTTTGTTCCCTTTTGCTTGATGGATGAGAGGAAATCAGGCAGTCATGATTATCTGTTGCTGGGGTGTAGTGGGGGATTTTGTTTAGTTTGTTTCTTTTCAATTAAGTCTGTTTTTTGGAGTGGGAAGTCTCAGACTTTAGGCAATCCCAGAATCACACAGAGAGTCGTAGGCGTGCGCAGCCCATTTCATTAGGGTGTGCACCCAGGGAGCCCCACCCTGCCCCCATCCACTCCCTCCTACATCCTGTCCCCTGACTACCACCTCCTGGGACCCCTGCCCTTAACTGCCCCCCAGAACCCCTCCCCCTATCTAAGCCTCCCTGCTCCTTGTCCCCTGACTGCCCCCCTAGGACCCTACCTGTCCCCTGACTGCCCCGACCCTTATCCACATCCCTGCCCCTAGACAGACCCCCCCCCCCCAGGACTGCCACGCCTATCCAACTGCTCCCCACCCCCTGACAGGCCCCCCCCCAGAACTCCTGACTCATCCAACCCCCCCAGCTCCTTGTCCCCTGACCA